TTAAATAATCCCGAATTTGTACTAACATAGCTACAATGTATATATCATTATATATTGTATTTATTACCTCCGCGCAACGGAGTTGCAACGGAGGTCATGTAATCGGTCTCGTGTGTGTGTGCGTGCGTGCGTGAGTGTGTGCGTGCGTGCGTGCGTGCGTGCGTGTGTTTGTGTGTGTGTGCGCGCGCGTGTGTGTGTGTACGTGCCCCGGCCATCCCGCCCAGACAGTCTGTATCCGCCTGAACTGATTCTGGTATTTCAGATGCTAAACAGCCTCAGTTCCTCGCTGAGCAGGCGGGTAATCGTTTACCCGGAGCTGGACGCCGCGTCTGCCTGCAGAAGGAAACGCGGTCTGACAGCCGGCTGGGAGAGGGCTGAAGGAGAGAGCGAGAGAGTCTTCTCTCGCCGCGGTCGCTGCCCTCTATAGACGCAAGACGTCTGTGGCAGCCGTGCCTTACGTCCCACGGAGATTCGCGCGCGCCCCCGCGCGTGCTGCAGCGCACGCATGCTTTAGTAATTGAGATGTAAATCGCGAATTCACACGGCGTTTTGACAGAGCGCAACAGTTTGTCGACTGCGATAATTTGACGGGGAACGACCGATGTAGAATGCATACGCGGCGCCCGTCACTCAGTCGACACAACCGAGGAGAAATTCACATCATATTGAGAAATCGCACCACCGAGTTTTAATATATATAAGAAATATTGTTGTTCATATAACGAGGGTGGTACTGTCGCGCCCGCGGACTATCCCGATTATGCCTTGTTGTGCCACTACTTCGTAAGTCGTGACTTTGGACGCCCAACTGATGACGGGGATAAACGAAAAGCTGTAAACAGCCTGAACAACTGGCCGTGCGCTTATAATCCGTCCATAATCCGCAGACATAGCATTGCAGAAAAAATGCGAGTAGGTTTGTCGTTGTCGCCATCCGGTGTTCAAGTAGAAAGTTTAGACACGGAGCTACATTTGCCGTAACTATATGCACACCAGCACTAAATCGTGACAAAGAGCTTACAGTGATGGCAGACATGGCAGAAAGTGCCACGAGAGCAACCAAGGGCTTCCCCTTGCCACCTATTCATAACCCCCGGCGATGAAACAGAAGCTAGGAGATATGGGCAGGGAGAGGACAGGAAGAGTAGATACATATCTATTGCTGCTCGGGCTAGTCCTCTCTATAACGCTCTCACTCTCTGATACCCTGCACTGTCGCGCGCGTGGGTGCCCCGTACCCTGCAGCGTCTTCGCTACTCACCAGGGATTTGTTGTGCAGTTTCTTGTTGGCCGTGGTGCAGCCCTGTTCCTCGTGTACTTGCTTCAGTACGTCCAGTAACCGCGACACGCCCTGGCGTTCATCCATGACAAACTCCTCGACGAAACTGCGGGAGACGAAACGATAGAACGCGTTATTAATATTTAAGTCAAACAAAGAATGAATCGCGTACAACAAGCCCTCGCGCTGCGATAGCAATGCGTCTCTGAAAAACGTACGTAACGCGAAATGTCGTAATTCGAGCGTTCGTATCGCGGGGGATGACTGCATTCGCGCATTCACAAGGTTTACATGTTGCGGACGATGATCGGTGTTCGCTCTTTACGGAGCGGGAAGAACGGAAGCCGGCTTCAAAAATTCCATCGCATTTTTAATTTGCATTTGCTACAAAGGCTTATTATAATTCATTAAAGCGATTAGAGCGATATAGAGGAAATCATGTGTCATTTCACAGACAATATATATAAGGTAGGCATAATTGATGTGGTAGCCGGCATTAAACTTTATTCAAATGAAATCCGTCAATGTTTTCATATACCTGCATTATAATGCTGGTTTCGAACAAACCGCTGGTGATTTAATTGCCAACTAAAATTCGATTCACGTGCACAACGCAGACAGATGTCATTGTACGGCGTCTATGATAAAAAGTAATAACTAGCTTACACTTACAAAGCAAACAACAGCGAGGAATTGCGCCGTACGTGTGTATAATTTTACATAGCCGCGTTTGATTGCGAACAAAAGCCAGCAGGCTGTGAAGAACAGCCTACTTTGCACGGTCTGGCTACGACTGCTGCCAACTGCGTCTATATGACGTCTAGCAAAAGCATGTGCAAACATCTACCATAGCACGGCGAAACAACAATGCGTCGGTGATTTTATGCCAGATTAATGTTTGTATAATTTATATATGTTGACATTCATTCAAAGGTGATCAAATGGGCATCACCTTCGAACAAGAAGTAACTTGAGTAAGCCGGATCATCCGGGAACAAAAGTCGCAAAAAGCTTGGCGCGGTAAACTCCGGGAATGACAGCGGACAAAACAAGCGAACAGCTCGCCGTATAAAAGCCAGGAAACGACGATTGTGGGGGTGACGGTATAGGCGAGTGGACGTCGGCCCAACCCAGCCTGCTTTGCAGCCATAATTCTATCGAATTTACACGGAGATCACATTGGATAACGCTGCGAGTATAACAGACATTTCGCAATGTAGTCGTCATACACAGTGCCAGATATACACAGTGACAGATATACACAGTGACAGATATACACAGTGCCAGATATACACAGCCGCCTGCGGTATGAATTGACGACAGTATCATCGTCACAATCACAGCAGATGCAAAAATTAATGACCTGACCTCAATACCTACCTACCTGATACAAACATCATGATGAGAAAGAGAGAGAGAGAGAGAGAGAGAGAGAGAGAGAGAGAGAGAGAGAGAGAGCGAGAGAGAGAGAGAAGGGCTTAGTTTGCCGGACAATGCGAGCGATTTTATTTTCAATGAAGCAATACATACGCTACACACACTGACAGATAATTGGGTAAAAAAATACGATTTAATTTTTATTCAATAATAACATTTATTATTAAGAAAAGTTTAATCCTGCAAAAAAATTAGTCTTATATAAAATTATTACTTCGTATAAATTAAATCCAATTCATACGCGAGCATTCGCTCTGTGACGTGCCTGCAAATGTTATAGCAATGCAAATATTCCACATAAATGTATATATATATAGATATGTTCATAATTATCTCCCGCGAATATCTGCGGCGTGTTTGACCTAGGTATGTGTAGGTGTAGTGCGTGAATTCTGACACGTGGAAAACGCACGGTCGAGAAGGTAACCCATTGCTTTATACACAGTAGGCCTACTAACTCGACAATCATTAATGTGGAAAAATGAAGGAACATAAAATCAGTGTGGTTACCCCGAAACGCTCATATTTATAGAATAACCCCTATCTCTTTCTCTCGCTGTTTCTCTCGCCGCACACACGCGCGCATGCACGCGCACATATACACATGCACACATACACGTATGTTCACACGCCTACCCTTCTATCCCCATTCTATTTTGCCACCCTCATACCTAACCCTCGTACACGCACTTTCTCCCCCCTTGTATTTATAACTGGGTGCGTGAATATATGTGGCGTCACCTTCCCTATTCCGAGGGTCGTCTTTTGATCTTCTGGTGGGATGGGATGGGCAGCGCATGCGGCGGACAAAAAGACGGGTTGATTTTTCGCGCCGACGGACAAATGCGTCGCTAGAATTCTATTAGCCTGTTAAATGAACTGTGTACACAAAACGTGTAGCCGCCATTGCAGATTATCTGTAACTGCAATTTGTACCTTATCTAATATGTAAATACGACAATATCGCATTTGTAAATCTTATCTGGCCCGTGAGTTGCATTTAACCACACCTGTGAGAATGAGAATGTGCTCTCATGGCGGTAGATTCTACACGGGCTTGCTTACGCTATACATATTTATGCTGCGCGCACCCTGTCATTTTCGGCTGTCGGTAGGTTTGTCCCGGTTCCCCAATGCATACATCATCGGTTGATAGTATTCATTGTGCCGACAGGTGTTAACGCTACGTCCACCATTCCACACACAGCGCCAACTGAAATGTGGTCGCAAATGTCACCGCGCTCAGTGTCCAGTCCCTGCACCCAATGAATTTTGGATTTCGCATGATCATATGGCACGCACACATACAGACAAATACACTCGAGCGCAGCTACTCACACAGTCAGATAAGCAGGCAGCCGTCTTCCAAGTTGATCAAATAAAATTAACAAAAATCTACAATATTTTGAAGTGGAAAACAAATATACTATGTACAAAAAATGTTATTCCTGCTGAATGCCTGCTCATGTGACACACATACTCGGCATATGCTTTCATGGACCGATTCAGACAAAAGCTGCTTGGGGTACACACAGCAGGTGTATACAGCTACATGGCCACTAGGGATCACCTCAACACACACGGCTAGTACCCTCGACAGCACCGACGAGTCTTCAGACTGACATGAAAACGTGCCGTTCGCAAACAGAAAGGTTTGTTCGTTCTCACTCGGACACCTATTTACCTGTCCACTCTTGACGCGCGCACCCTCTACAATCGGAGACAAGGTTTCGTCGTCCGGCGTTGGTGCAAGGCTGAGTACATCAGCGTAGATTATGCCACGATCTCGCTCGCTCCCAGTTTTTCAAACAAAAATTGTTGGCGTGTTTACTAGAGGATTCCAATGTGGAAAGAGAATCCGATGCGCGCGAGTGGCGGGGTGGGAGAGCCGTTCAGTGACTGGGATAAAGTCGTTACTGCATCTGCTTGTGCTATACGGGTTACGCGTTTGTCGTCTGTCTCAGTAAGTGAAGTTAGACGGTTCTCTGTCTCTCTCTCTCTCTCTCTCTCTCTCTCTATCCATGTCTTTCTCTCTCTCTCTCTCTAGCATCTGTCCGTTCTCTCTACTCGTATATCTGCCCCGTCTCATCTCATTCGTTCCTCTCTCTCCTTCCTCTCTCTCTACTTCTCTCTCTCTCTCCTCTCATCTCTCTCTCTCTCTCTCTCTAGATCTGTCCGTCTCTTTCTCTCTATATCCCCAGCTTTATCTCTCTCTTTTCCATTTGCCTCTCTCTCTCTTTCTCTCGTTCTTTTACTTTTCTTTCTCCCCTTACTCTCCTTCACTTCCTTTTCTTTCATGGCTTTTCTCTTTCCTTTCTACTTATTTCCATACCCTCTAGTTTTCATTTACCCTCTTTCCCTATTGTTCCCGCTCTCCTTCACCTTCTCTGCTCTTCGCTCACTTTCTCTCTCTCTCTCTCTTTCTTCACGCACATGCGCTTGCTCCACTTCTTGTCTCCCTATATCATATCATTCTTTTCACCCTTCTGTGTGTGTGTGTGCGTGAGTGCGTGCGTGCGTGTGGGTGCGTACGTGCGTGCGTGTGTGCGTGCGTGCGTGCGTGTGCGTACGTGCGTGTCCATGGTCTCTGCGCTTTGATAGGTTCGCTATGGATGGCTCACCTGCTCGACACACCGCGCGCTGTGCGGCTCCCGCGGCTGCTTCTGTTTTCACACGAAGGACATTCATTTTCCGTGCTCCTTTCTTTAGCCACGGTACACTGGCCAGCATCCGGGAGATACTATTTGCCCCACTGTGGATCTACTACTACTGTTTTTGCACATGCGGCTCATGTTTATGTTTTGACTAGCGCACTTGTTGCTTCGCGTGCGGCAATTCGCGTTTCCCGAGTTTCTCATGTTCTTTAGTTAGTTATTATGACGGCAAGCTATCCGTAAGTAAATCGCCTCGTTGCCGGCGACGGGGCATCATTGTGCACACCGCCGCCGCGCTCGCATTTCTAACGACGTCGGCGACGCGGGTGGATTCTCGCAGAGCGACGGCCAGTCTTTGTGTTTACGCTCGTTTTGATTGGCAATTTACGATGGCGGGTAACGTTGCGGACGTGCGGAGACCGGTTGAGTCGTCAGCTCACGCTGCGCTCACGCAACTAAGCCGTCACTGTTGGCTTTGATCAGACGCCGTGCCGCGTGAACGATGGTGAGCAACGGCAGAGCGCGTCTGATGCGCGTCTTGCAACCGCGTCTGACGGCGTTAACTCTTAAGGTCCTCGCCGAAAATCGTCGAAAAACCGTCCTCTCCGTCTTAAGGTCCTCGCCGAAAACTCGCCCTCGAACGCTCATCATCATAAGATTCAACCCCATCCGCATGAAGACGAGAACGCGTATAGAAATATTTAGCGTTCTCGTCGCTGTACGCGCGTTTAATTGTATGATAACAGGAGGCTTTTCTCTACCTGTCATCGCCATTTGATTGCTATGTCGCTGACGTATGGGGTTAGGTTAGCCGGGCATATATAGCCTTGAGACATTTTTTCGCGAACTCCCATCTTACGCAAGTAGGCATTGTCGTGAGATTATTTGTCGCTGACGATGGCTGAAGCTCTCATTTTCCATGTGAGCTTTATTGCTAATGTCAACATTATTTCGTAGTAATTCATTTTAGGTGAGATCCTCTCGCTTGGGCTTTGCTCTTTATTCTTGGCAATTAATCATAGCACACATTCCGCTCCAATTTTCACGTCTCGCACACATAATAGTGACATTGCAATGAAATATGAATATACGATGAAAAATACGAATATAAGTCGAAAAAATAACCAGTTTAGAAAGAAAACATTCTTCCTCAATTGGCCTTAATTCCGACACGCCAAACTTTATCGCTGGCAATTCAACAACCAACATACAAAGAATCCAGTCTCCTATCCATCCAATCCTAACTTGTTCGTCGCGATTTTTGTTTGCATTTGGAATTATGCTTTTAACGGCCATCACTAATTATTTTCGCAGCGCCATGATTTGGAACTTGGGACGAATTCCTCTAGCCGAGATGCGTTCTAATCGTGACTATGCGCGAGTACTCGCCAATGAAACCTCCATCGAAAGCCGTCAAACTAAGCATAAATATAACACGATCCGCCTGAATTAAAAACTGCAAGGTTCGTGTAGTGACTAAGGCCATGTACGAGAAACACCTCAATCTTACGTTTAGATGAGCAGTGATAACTCGGTTACCGATGTGTGCCTTCATTACTTACTGTGAAAACAGCAGGCCGGGGTGGGTGGGTGGGAAGGGGGGGCTTAAACAACCGAACGAAATTCATGATTGGCATTCATGATTAGACAGAAAAGACTATTAGCGAGAGAGGACAGGTATAACGAACAGTGGTAGCGTTTTCAAAATATTATATTGCGTAGTATTATTAGACCACTTCTATTCCTTCAACTTTCGTGCTTCTCTTCTGCTCGTTTTTTTCTCTTGCCCCCATGCCTCCTGTTCTGAAGAAATAAGACCTACATATGTAGTGAAATAAAACGTTGACTGTCGCATGCACGTGTGCACTTGGCTGCGGAAGTTATCTCAAAATTTCTGGAAATTTCCGGTAATATTAGCTCTTTTTTACACAGTTTAACTCTATAAGCCGTGTTTTCACGGCAGACCAGTGCTACCTGCGCTGTTCGTGCTTAAACGTGACTGTCGTGGAAACAAGGAGTACTGCTGACTGTAGCGACCCTAATCCATCTAAATGAGCCCCGCGATTGATGGAACGAGGACTTGGGAGCAGCGTTAGAAGCGGTAATCGCGTTTGGCCGGACCGACGGCATGTTTGATCGCCAAACAGCGATCTCGGCTAATGCTCGCACACGCGGTTATTACGTGTGGCTGGACCGCCTCTTGCATGTATACAAGTAGTGTGGGTCGCGAGAAGTGCTGGCCCTGCAACTCTGCTCGCCCAGCACATGACAGGAGCCACCTTGCAAGATGCTAACCGCTCGTTATTTTTACGCAGCGCACACGCGCACACGCACACACACATACGCACACATACACACACACACACACACACACACACGCACACACACACACACACACACACACACACACACACACACACACACACACACACA